TCGTCGTCGTCGTCGTCTTCAAACATTATATCATCTAACAAAATAAAAATATTAATGTTTGACACTAAATATAGGTGTAATTTTCATACTTTTTTTATTATTTTCGAACTAATCCATCACTTTATCATAATATTCGTCATCGTCGTCTTCAAACATTATATCATCTAGCAAAATAAAAATATTAATATTTGACACTAAATATAGGTGTAATTTTCATACTTTTTTATTATTTTCGAACTTATCCATCACTTTATCATAATATTCGTCATCGTCGTCTTCAAACACTATATCATCTAGCAAAATAATAATATTAATATTTGGCACTATGTATATAGATAATTTTTCATACTTGTTTTTTTATTTTCGGTATTATCCAACGCGTTATCGTCGTTTCTAAACGTTATATTATCATCTAGGAAAATAATAATATTAATATTTGGCAGTATGTATATAGATAATTTTTCATACTTGTTTCATTAATTTCGGCATTATCCAACGCGTTATCGTCGTTTCTAAACGTTATATTATCATCTAGGAAAATAATAATAATAATAATATTAATATTTGAACACAGCTACCCCTAACTGTTTGCTCAGTCGGTAAAAATTGTCTGAGAAATGTTGCAGGGGCTAAACATTGCCTAAACGCAACTCCTTAAAAAGGATGCAGGAATGAAAACTAAGTATTGCTTAAACGCAACTCCTTAAAAATGATGCATGTTGAAAACTTGCCCTCCCCGGTAAAAAATATTTTTAAATTGTACTTACCATGATTTTTTTTTCGTAGATTACCATGCATATTTTGAGTGTGTCTTTTAAGACTATCATTTCGAACAAATAAAACACCACAAATCGAACATTTGAATTTTTTTTTTTCATGACTCTTTAAATGTCTGGTTAAACTATCTTTCCGAGAGAAAACGGATAAACACTTATTGCATTTAAACATTTTTGAACAAATATTAGTATACGCACGATATAACGTCTGAACGGTAGTTTACAAGTAGGCAGACTGACGCTTGTCAAGTGATTATTATTATTATTATTATTATAAAAAGAATCTTTTTTGAGTGGTAAGGGTAAATACCCCCTGGAAGGGATGTTTATCCTTGGAAGGGGAGAAATGTAATCGAATGACCGTATCATCCTTGGTCTGCACTGAGGTATTTCAAAAGATTCTTTCACCCTTGACAGGGGAGGAGTAAATAAATTACAGTTGACCAGTCTGACTATACGAATAATATTATGTAGGTCAGTACTCATACGATTGTAACACGATATACACTTGTATGTTAAAATGTTTCGTTTACTTTTTATGTATTTTTTTATAAACGCTCGGAGGGGACATAAAAAGAATAATGATAATCAGTTCGAAATGGCGACTCAAATGGAATTAGATGCAATGTAAGTTTAATATTATTATTATTATTAATTCGACTTATTTAATGTTTAGTATCAGAGTGCAACCACAACCTCCACCAACTTCTGACTTAGATGGCGTATGGCATCTTATAGTCGAAATACTCAGGGACGTAAGGTAAACAACTTTAACATTATTTACCTATATTTCTTTTTTTAATTTAATATTTATGTTTAGTCGAGACGAGCAAGTGTCACCACCAATCATAAATATCCCTGATCTCTATGCTTATGAAGAGTTAGCAGATACCGATGATGATGATGAGATACAATCACACACATGATTGGTCACATGTGATGACGACATGACAGACGCCGAAATGTCTGATACAGAAACGGAATCGTCAGTTGAAACAATGTCCGAGGTTTATTCACCGCATATAACGGATGACGAATTTGCAGATAACGAAATGGAATCGTCAGATACCGATGATACCATGCTTGATTCACCGTTTATATATGATGACGTATTGTATATAAATATAAACCTTTATAATTGTGATTTTTTATTTTACAAATATAAATAACAAGTTTTAGTATATTATGTACTGTATTCAATTTTACTACATATTTCATTTAAAGCTTTATAATCATCATCAGTGTAATCTTCACCCCATATAAATTTGTCCAATGCTTCGGAACTTATTGCGTCAATGGCTTCCGCATCTTCACCACCCCATGCATCAATTTGGTTTTCTATAATGGTAAATATATTGTGTACTTAATGCATAAAAACAATAATAAAATGAACGTACCATTTGTTGGTTGGTTATTTTGTTCATCGCCAAAATATATATGTTTTCTTCTTGGCTTAGTAATGTACTATAAAAGACACGTCTTGGTGTATTTGATAGCTATAATATGTATTAACTGTATTATTATTAATTATAATATGAAAATAACTTAACTTACCATTTCATCAAACTCGCCATTCGCTAAGAAATCAATGAAACCTGCAGATATATCTGGTGTATTTATTGTAGACACTTGGCTGCTGTTACACGACATTTTAAAATACTTTACACACTACGTATGACTTGGTAAAAAATCGGGTGAAGACTAATGATGCGTGAAAGGGTGGCTGTGGTCATTCAACGGTGACCTTGCAGGTTAACCGTGTAATCTGTGTGTGTTTTTTGTTTGCGATATACACGAATATTTTTTAAATATTAAACCATATTTAATTATTAATAGATAATTTATCAATGTGATAACGGTAATATGATAACGCATTATAATTATTTATCAATGTGATAATGGTAATATGATAACGCATTAATAGATAAAAACAATATGATAAGGATAGGTGGTGGAGGGTACGGTCGTGGGTGGGCAGTGTGAGCAGCGGTCTGTCGGGTGGCGGGTAGTGGAGGGGCGTAGGCCGGTGGGTAGGGTGTCAGTGGTGGCGGTGGTGGTGTGTGGCGGGTGGTGTGTGGTGGTGGGGGGTTCGGTCGCGGGTAGGTGCGACTGGTGGCGGTGGTGTATGTGTCGGGAGGCGGGTGGCGGTGTTGGTGTTTGGCAGGTGGCGGGTGGCGGGTGGCGGGTGGCGGGTGGCGTTTCGCCTCTAGGGACCCAGATACTACTCATACCGTTTTCAAAATATTTTGATTTATTTTGAGCTATTTATGGAAAATTTCAGTTTTCAATTATTTTAGGTTTTTTTTCTATAAATATCAATAAAATTTTATTTGTTGGGTACAAAATCTTGAAAATTTAATAGAAGGCTCCAAATATACTGTTTCAAAGGCAGATGAAAAATATTAAAAATCCGTAGTCACCACTTTTTTTTCTAAGGATTTTAAGTTGAAATTTTGACAAAATACGTAAAAATGACGAAAATTTGCAAATTATTTTGAGTTAGTAATTCATAAAATTTTTTCTTTTTAAATCTAAGATTTTTAAATGTAACTGAAAAAATGAACTACGGTGTTCATTAAAGTAAAATAAATAATTTGATTTTTATAAAACTTGTAAAATATTTGTATACACTTTAAAACACTTAAGAACTCTGAAATAACTCGACTTGACACTTGAACGGTAGTAAACGGACTGATCTCACTTTGCTCTGTGTACATTATGGCTGGAATTCATCGACAATACTCGGACGTGTCACTACAGGCTTGTACAGGTCTGTAGTCGGATGACGTGAGGACGGGTGGCGGGGTGTAAAATATAATTTAGGCTGGTACTCTGTTGGATTGGAATGTCTTATTGCTTATAACTGTGACTATGTGTGAGTTTGTGTGTGTGTGTGTGTGATACATTTCGATGTATAACGTATGCTTTATCGAGATGTTTATTCGAATTTGATTATAATCTGAAAATGGTATAATATTTTTAGATATGTGTTATGTTGTTACCTTATATGATATTATGAGCATGTATGATATAGTCGATACAAATGTACATTAGAATATTATATTTATATTTTTTAAAGAGTAAATAAAAGGGTAGGTAATGTATTTGATTAGGAAGGGGTAAAATATATGTCATACAAGTGTTCGATATAGTCGATACAAATGTATATCAGTATATTATATATATTTTTTAAAAGGGTAAATAAAAGGGGAGGTAATGTATTTGAAGGGGAAGGCATAAAATATATGTCGGTCACGTGTCGGATCGGGTGGCTTGTGACGAGTTAATGTGTGTTGCGGGTTGCCTATATTGAGTAATTAATACAAGTTTGGGAGGAGCCTGTACTACGAATTGCCTATACAGAGAAGCCTATGCTTTTACATGTAAAATTTAAGGGGGAGGAGCTGCTGAACCTACATAATTATCCTACTAACAACCTTTTATTAAAATAAATATTGGTGATCGCCCCAAAATAACAAATTCAACACAACATGCCGCTACCTGGGACAGCCCATCGTCACTAAAAACTAAAATATATCGAAGGTCGTTCTACGTGTGAGATTCGGGATTCCAATATTATTTTTTGAACACAGAGAAATAATGTAGTTACCGACAATTATGGTTTATGGTTTTCCTATATTATTATGATTAAACTTTTTGTTTATTATCCATTCTTATGTCTCTCGGTTATAATTTACTAAAGGTCGTCTAACATGATCCACTCAAATTTCAAACTTACAAAAATATTAATCCGTAACTCTTAACTAATGGAACTCTTTTTACCTGTTGTCTTGACAACTTCTACTATACTTATAATTAATTTCTAAATTATATATATATCTTATTGATTACTTTGTAATAATGACATAAATTAATTACTGCTATAATCATTGCTAATATTATTATTCCCATTATTAAACTTATTACATATATATATTCAAATTCTAACCCTTTTTCTCGTACTGGATCATAAATGATAGTAGTGGTTTTTATTGATTCACTGGATCTGGCTATTTCCTTTATTTCATTGGCTTGAGTGGATTTCTCAAGAGTGTTGGTGGGTATGTGTGAATTATTGACAATAGTTACATTCCTTAGATAATTAATTTCGGTGATTTTTTCAACAGTTGTGGCGTTTACGTGTGATTCATTGACAGTGGTGACAACATGGGATCTGGTGGTTGAGGTACTCAATTGTTTTGTGATACCTTCTTTATTTTTCACTTAGGTGGCTATGGTAGGCGTAGTGGTAATTGCATTTGATTTTATTTGTTCTGGAGAGTTTGTTAATCTATGTTCAGTATTGTTTAACTGGGTGGTTGTTTCTAACTTGTCGGTTACTGATCGTTTCCTAGTTTCTTTTTCTAGAGTTTCCATATTGATTGAATTGTTGTTGAATTGATAATTTTGCTTAATGGTGGGTTTTATAAGGAACTGTTTAATTATTATCCGTTCCCCTCTCAGTCTGAATTGCATTACGGATATTTCTTCGTCTACTTCTCCTCCTTCTCTTGATAAATCAACTGTACATTGTTTGCCTACGTATACTGACAGATAAGTTCCATCTTGTTGATCTAGTTTTTCACTGTCAATTGTACCTGTGCAATTTATACGAATGGATCCTAATTTACAAGTGTGTTTATAATTATCCGGCACCCTTATAGCGACGTCCTGATTAACCGTTATACCTTGTACTAAGGGTTCTCCTAGTATTGTCTTTTCGTTAAATATTATCTCATTCTCCCTTGTTGTATCATATGCCATCCCTGTTTGTCCAAGAATCGCCAGTGTACCAATGAATCTATAATACAATCAATTTGTTATCATCTTATTTTTTTGTATGCCAGTAAGTCTTCTGGTTCGGGAATAATATCCAAAAATTCTAACAATGTTTTACAAAAACATTCGTTCTGTTCCCTATTTTTGGTCATAGCATATAAAAATCGCGCAATACTCCTAGTATATTTCCTTAATGTGGATCTTGAAAATGGTTCGGTCAACCTGTGGTTTGCTGTGCTTATATTTCTTAGCAGGCAAACGGGTAGTTCTTCTGGGTTCAATACGTTAACATGGTGGGATTTACTTCTAATAGCCTGTTCTAACTCCAGTAAAAAGTTCAGTTGTCTTTCCCTAGAATTCAATTGGCTTAATTAATTAGAGTTGTTAATAAATAAAACAAGAGGTCCAATTTAACTAAATACGACTTTAATAAAATATCCAAAATATTAAATTAATATTTAAAAAAGAACTCAAAAATATTCCAATTAACGTTTTAATTCTGCTGCCTATTAGAATTTTCGTAGGCTTCTCGCATGGCCATCCCCCTTCCTTTTGCCATGCACCTCATAGCATAGTGATTCCATGCCCCTCGGTTTATCTCCGGATTGGTCTCATAGAATTCGCGCGTTACTCGATAAGCCAGTCTTACACCAGCTCTAAGCTCCGCTCTACTTTCTTCCCCTGTTATCGGTGGTGGCCTTATTTCTCGGTAAATAATGGTCGCTGTGCCTATAGGTGGTCCTACAGGCGGTCTGTTGACGTAAATAATCGTTCTTAATATGTATAACAAGGTATCTAATTATAATATCAATAATTTTTAGTTTAATAATAATTTTTATTATATTTAATATTTTTTTTTTTTTTATTATTTTATATATTGATCCACATATTCCATTAAAATTTCTGGCTCTGGTATATACATCTTGTAATCGACCAGGTCCATGCAACATTGTTTCCCCAATCTCCCTTTCCTTTTCGATACATCATATAAAAAAGTTACAATACTTTGGGTTATCCTTCTGATTTCGCTTTCCGAAAAGGGTTCGTCTAACCGCTCGTTGGCGTTTTCTATGTGTCTTGGTAGACACCTTGGTAAATTACCGCCTCCTACTGTGCTTGTGTCATGAGTTTCAAGCAAAATTGCATTGTCCAGATTGATACAGAACAGTTGATTTTTAGTCCTATAATTAAAATTTTGGTTAAATCTTATTTCTACCTATTACGTACTAACTATAAATTGTATATATTCTTTTTTTTTTTTTTTTTTTTAACTGGGATTTTCATGGTACTTCTTCACATCATTCTTATGTACGGTGACCTTTTTCCTTCCCCTTTGAATAACAATGTTTTCAGTATCTAATAATTCCAAAATTTCGAAAGGTCCCTTCCATAGAGGTGTTAGCTTATTTCTCTGAGTGTTATCTCGTAATAATATAGAATCCTTTACATGCAACTCTTCACTATGTGCATTGTTATCGTAATTTGTTTTTGATTTAATCTTCTTCTTTATTTCCCTTGCTATCTTATGAGACTCCTGCATTCATTGTTTCAGGTCATACAAATAATCATCGTAATTGTATCTAGGTTCTGGTTTACTTTTCAAATTTATTGGAATGTTTATTTCCTTTCCATACAACAGTGTATAGGGTTGATAATTCGTGGACGAATGTTCTGTCGAATTGTATACGAATAACGCATAAGGTAATAATTGATCCCAGGTGTTTAAATCTTTATCTACATAATGTCGAAGATATTCTGCTAAGGTTCTGTGCGATCTTTCCAATCCCCCATTGGTTTGTGGATGATACGGGCTAGTATTTATCTTATTAATTTTTAAAAGTTTGCATACTTCCGCGAATGTTTTGCTTAGGAAATCGGTCCCTTGGTCAGTTAATATGGTCTCTGGAATTCCATGAATACAAACGAAATGTATTACAAAAGCTTCAGCTACAGTATTGGCTGTGTGATTCGGTAGAGGCACTCCCAATGAATATTTTGTAAGATCATCTTGCATGGTTAAAATATAAGTATTCCCAGATGCTGTAGTGACTAAGGGTCCTACTATATCCAAAAATATCTTTTCAAATGGTTTTGAACTTGTGGTATTTATTACCATGGGTTGTTTAATCTTCCTATTCGTAACTTTATTCTTTTGGCAGGACTCACATTTCTTAATATAATTCTTAACATCTAACTTGAGCCCTGGCCAATTAAACTGACGTTTAATCTTTTTAATGGTTTTGTTTACTCCTGCATGTCCTCCTAGCACTGAATCATGAAATTGTTTAAATATGATCATTTTCTCTGCATCCGTATATTCTAGATTAAAATTTCTATTCCTGTGTTTCGGAATATATATCTTATCATAGCTCTAACCTTATCCCATTCTAACCCATAATTTCGGCCTAGCTGTTTCATTACAAGTTTATTTAAAGAATGCTTTTCACTAAAATATTTTAAATTTAATAGAGCATTATATAGATTTTCATACGTAGTGATCTGTTTAGTTTTACTTTTGGTTATTAAGAATATTATATACCTATCTTCATGTATAACTTTTGTGACTTCGCCTACTTGTTTGTTAGATTTCAAGATAATGGTATCACCAAATTTCTGTTTTATCTCATAATTGATTCCTGTCCTGAAGTTATAATACTTTTCTATTTCAGTAACTATATGATATTCAGGAGGTGACTCCAACAATTCCCCGTGCACTTCCTTAACGTTTCCATTGGTTATCAATGTGGTTTCGAATTTCACAAGAAAATTGTTATAGCTTTCCTCCTTTATATCCTGTATAGTGAACATCTTAGATAAAGCATCTACGTTACCGTTTTGAACTCCCGGTTTATATTTAATAACATAGTCATATTGTTCTAACTGTATTCTCCATCTAGCTAATTTTGATAAGGGATCCTTTAAATTAAATAACCAAGCTAATGGTCTATGGTCACTTAAGATTGTAAATTTCCTTCCATATAGATAAGGTCTAAATTGCTTAATTCCATAAACAATGGCTAAACATTCTAACTCTGTCGTGGAATAGTTGTGCTCGCTGGGACTCAAAGTTCTTGAAGCGTAAGCTATGGGCAAATCCTTTCCTATTTCCCCTTGAGATAGTATTGCTACTAACGCTTTCCCACTGGCATCTGTTGTTAATATAAACTCTTTCGTGAAATCTGGGTACTGCAATACGGGTTCAGTACATAAAGCATGTTTTAACTTTCCAAAAGCTTTATCACATTCTTCATTCCAATCAAATTTTACATCTTTCTTTAATAAATTCGTCATAGGCCTAGCTATTGAACTGTAGTTTTCAATGAACTTCCTATAATATCCTGATAATCCTAGAAAAGATTTTATCTGCTTCACATTCTTAGGTTCCGGAAAATCTAGAACAGCTTGTATTTTCTTTGGATCAGGTCTTATTCCTGTTTCAGAGATAACACGTCCTAAATATATACATTCTCGTTTTACAAATTCACATTTATCTGGCTGGATCATTAAGTTGGGCTCTCGCAAACGTTCAAACACATCTATCAACTTATTATTATGATCTATCAAGTTTTTCCTATAAATAATTATATCGTCAAGATAAACTAGACACTTAATCCCAATGATCCCTGATAATACATTATCCATAAGTCTCTGGAATGTGGATGGACTAGTTTTCATCCCTATCGCCATTCGTTTAAAGTGGTAATGTGCATTGTTAGCAGAAAAAGCTGTAAGCTCACGTGAAGACTTTGATAAAGGAATTTGGTAAAAACCTGAAGCGAGGTCAATCACGCTGAACAATTGACATTGCCCTAAATGATCGAGTATTTCCGTGATGTTAGGTATGGGATGGAATTCATTCAAGGTTACTTGATTTAAAGCTCGAAAGTCTATTACGATTCGAAATTTTTCTTTACCACTTGCATCCATTTTTTTCTTAACAAGTAAGAGTGGGGCGTTCCAAGGTGAACTAGAAGGTTCTATAATTCCATCTTGTTCCATTTTATCTAGTTGTTGTTTAATTTCGGATCGTTATGAATGTGGCAACCTATATGGTCTTTGATAAATGGGTTGTTGATTAACGTTTAAATTAATAACATGCTCAGCTGCATTTGTAAAAGTGAGTCGATCGCCTTCTAAATGGAATATTTCGGTATGTATTTTCGTTCATCCATGCTCATATTATCACTTCGTATTAAATTCAAAATTCTATTTATACGATTATCATTATTAATCTCAGTATGTACCGCATGTATACTATAGGTCGTAGCGGTATCATATAATATTCGATTCATAATACTTTCATTAATTTCTTTAGTTACTTCAGAAACGTTTAATATACTAACCATAACCTTTCCTAATTTTACTGTTCCTACCACATTGGCACAGTATACATCTTTAATTAATTCTTGTTTCAAAACTATAATATCTTTATTTTCCATAGCCGGATCGGCAATTGGCACGGTTACCACTGTTTTCGTCCTTGGCTTCAACTTAAAACATAAACTATCCTTAATCATTTTATTAACTATCTTATTATTTATTATTAACGAGTTATTTGCTACATCTATCACTACCTTATTTTCCATTAAAAATTGTTGTCCTAGAATACCATCCTTAGGTATAGGAAATGAATCACGTATTACTTGAAACTCCGTTTCTATATTAGCATCACTAAATCTTAAAGTTATTCTTATGGAGCCTACTGTTGACACGATCCTATCGTTAATTCCCTTTAAATATATTTTCTTATTTTCTTGAACTAGTGTGTCACCTGTCAAAGTATTAAATTTTATTAAATTAACATCGCTTCCAGTGTCTACAAGTAGTTCCATGAATTCTTTTTTTATATTAGTAGACTGACAAGTAATATGGTTGTTGTTTAAGACTGACACGATGTGTAAACATCGTCTAAATCTTCCTCTACTGTGGCTATTAAATTTATCGGGCGAGCGCCACTCCTGTCGTCCGATCTTGGCAAGTTTCCC